GCAGAACCAGCATCACTTCTTTTGTAATTTGCATTGCAATGCCCCTGTGGTACTGTGGCCTCTGCCATTGTCTGTAATCCATTTTCTGTTGCTGCCAATAAAGAATGCTTTGCAATCAGCAGTGGGTCTGTTTTGTGAATCTTTGGAATAGATAAATATTGCTCTTCCATGCTGAGATTTCTCTGTCTATCCATAGAATGGTCCCCACAGTCACTTGCCAACCTTTTTCCTGGATGTCTCTTGCAGGATTGTGTTTCCTTCTGGTTTAACTGCTCATTAACAGTGGGGTCAGGCTTGACTCTAAATATCTTGGTGAGCATGTAGATCATTGCTGGTCCTGGCCAAACACTCACCTCCAGAATGTACATTGCTATCACACACTTGGTTGTATTTGAAGGTAGTGACTGTAGAAATGGTGCAGTCTTCTACTGCCCTAAATCACATCATAAACAAATGTTTTTAATAACTTCAATTCTTTAAACCTAATGGTAAAATCTGCCTTGTTTTTTCACAGCTGTAATATCCTGATAAGGAATGAGGAATGACAAGGGTAGATCAGGTAAATCAGTGCAGTAACAAACCTTGCTGTCCCACACTGCTGTCTCTGCCCTGGCTTCATCACCAGCATGGGACAATATCTGCCCATTCTCTCTCTTGCCATCATCAGCATCTTGAAGTAGAAAACCCCTGGAGGTTCCCGCCGGCATAAATTGTTCCAGGAGTCCATACACTGTGCTTTGGATGTGATAGGCACAGCTACCCCTGCCCCAGGGAGCAGTGCAATCCTAGAGAACGGCAAATGAAAGGTTCAAAGAGAAATATGGATGGGGTGGTTTCAGGAACTTTTACATCTGCTGTTACAAATGGGGAGGGGGGGGGAGGTTTGTTTGTTTTCTTTTGTTTGTTCTGGTTTTTATAGCAAAGTATTCTTGTAAGTTTTTCAGTAATATGAGGATGAAGTAAAGATGGAGAAGGACTTTGACCCTTCAGTGGAGGGGATTACATTTGACAAGTGGGAAGGTAACAGCTGCTGCTTAACTGGGAGGGAAGTCTGATGTTGTGGAAATGGAATTGAAAAATATACAACATGTAATCCTCAAGTTCTTGTACAGATGACTTGCTGATGACATTTTTTCAAGGAAATTGAACAAAGAATGCAATTAGCCAGAAAGTGACAAAGGTTTTGAAATCTTCCTGAGAATTACTGACAGAAAGATTTATTTGGGAAGGGACTTCCCTATTTCACTGCCTTCCTCACAGCAGATACAAGGAAAGAAGGTTACTCAAGGCCGTTCTCAAGAGATTTTTGAAAATCTGCAAGGGTGGAGACTCTCCAGGATCTCTGACATTTCGGCCAGAGCTGAGCAATCCTTGGCATGAGTTTTTATTCATTTTTTTATGTCTGAGTTTCCCTGCTGCCATCTAAGACTCTTTCCAGCTGTCCTTTGCTGAGCCCCTCGGATAACAGGAGCCTTGTCTTCTGCAGGCTGAACAGGACCAGGCCCCTCAGACTCTCCTGGCTCATGGGATGCTCCTGTGCCATCCACTGGCCTGTATGGGGCTCCACCATTTTGTTCACATTGTCCTTTTAATAGGGCATCTGAAACAGATGCAGTATTCCAGGTGTGCCCTCTGTTCAGAGGAGATGGAATAAACTCTTCCCTTCCCCTGCTCCTCCAGTTCTCATGCTGTGCAGGATGCAAGTGCCCTTCAACTTCTCATCCACCAACAGAAAGGAGACAGACAGAAGCCATTCTGACAGGACTGGAATTAATCTCTCAGGGGTTGCATATACTCAATCCTGGCATGCCTGAGGTAGGGTAAAACCTGTACAGAAGTACTGACTAGAACAGCTCCTCTTCAAAAGGCGTCTAAATCAGGAGTTTGTGGGATTGAAAGGAACAAAACAGGAAAATCCTTTGCTGACAGACTACAGGAAAGTTGGAGTTAGGTAACCAGGATGCTTTTCTCTTCCTCTGCCCATGCTCCAAAGAGTTGAGATGTGTGAGTCAAGTGAGCGAACTCTCTGAGTGTGAGAGGGCATCTGGCTGAAATCATCAGGAAAGCAACGATGGCCGAGTAACCTCAGTGTTGAGAGAGGCACAGAACATCAATGAAACACCAGATCACTCCTGCAAATGCACCTCCTGAAAGCATCACTTTGCAATCTTCTTGTGCTTCTCTTGGCTTGGCAGCAAACTGCTCTCCTAACTGGCAAACCTACAGTGAAAGTTTGCTTAGAGTCAATCACTGATGAGACAAAGAAAGTCAAGAAATGGGGCAGACCTGTTGGATCTCAAGTGCGTCAAACCATTATTCTCAGCAGTTAATGAGTAATAAAGCTACTGTATGCATACAGAAATAGGGTAACTTTTATGTTTGGTGAAAGCATGAAAGTTTGTTGTGAGAGGCTGCAGCTGCTCTTTTCTCTGATCCTTTCACAATACTCTGAGTTTCTTTTGCAGAAAGATTTTCTTTCCCTGAGAGACAATTTTTCAGGAATTCTGAAAGAAGGCATGGACCAGGGATGAAAATATGGGTAGCGCCTTTGAAGTGTTCTAGATGTGTTCTAGATGTTCTAGATTTTTGCTCTAAATGAGTCAGAAATCCAGAAGACATTGTGAGCAGGATGTAAGTGTGTTGTGGGAGGGAGGTGCTTGTGTGTTTTTCCTGAGAATTACTGAAGGAACAGAAAGGGAAAGCGCGAGGTATTTCCAGAACAGACTAGCCAATAAATGTGCTTTGTGCATGCACATCTGTAATGTGAGATTATCAGCTGAGACCCCTTCTTTAGAGCAAGATTCCTCAGGAGCAATACAGCTCAGGTGATACTCGGATTTGCCCGTCCTGATCCATAAATCATGAGCTTGAGTAACGATGCAAGGCAGGAGGATTGTGGGATCACAAGACAATTCTGGTTGAAAGTGACCTTAGGGTGCCATGGGGTCCAGTCTGCTGCTTGGTAAGGCCAGAGACCCTGGGGAATCTCCACCCTTGTGGCTGTCCACAAATCACTTGAGCATGGCCATGAGTAACCTGTTTTCCTTTGGTGGCATCTTTGCATTGAAGAAGGCCTTGGTCTAGGGAGGTCCATTCCAGAATAAATCTTTCTGTCACTAATTCTAAGGTAGACTTTAAAATCTTTGCCACTTTCCGGCTAATTGCATTTATTGTTCAATTTCCTTGAAATAATGTCATCATCAAGTCATGTGTAAAATGCCTTGGGGATTACTTGTTGTGTATTTATCAATTCCATTTCCCCAAGGTCAGACTACCCTCCCAGTTCAGCAGTAGCTCTTACTTGCTGTCTTGTCAAATGTAATCCCCTCCACTAAAGGCTAAAGACATTCTCCATCTTTACTTCATCCTGCTATTACTGAAAATCTCAAAAGAATTTTTTGCTATTAAAAAAAATAAACAAAACAAAACAAAAACAAACAAAAAACCCAAACAAAACTCAACCCTTTGTATTAGTAGGTGAAAAAGTTCCTGAAACCACCCCATCGATATTTCTCTCCTTGAACCTTTCCTTTGCTGTTCTGTAGGATTGCACTCCTCCCTGGGGCAGGGGTAGCTGTGCCTATCACATCCCAAGCACAGTGTATGGACTCCTGGAACAATTGAGGCCGGAAGGAACCTCCAGGGCTTTTCTACTTTGAGCTGTTACTCATGACAGGACAGAGAATGGGCAGATATTGTCCCATGCTGGTGATGAAGCCGGGGCAGAGACAGCAGTGTGGGACAGCAGGGTTTGTTACTGCGCTGCTGTGAAAATATTTCCAGCAGGGGGCTGAGGGAACAGGAAGCCTTGGGAAAGTGGCCAGGGCTGTGTCAGTGGGTGAGAACAGGAGGAGAGAGGCTGCAGGAAGGCACAGGCAGCTGAGAGGAGCACTGAGCCTCAGCACAGGGAACACAGCTTCAGCTGGGCATGGCAGCCACAGACACACAGACACACAGACACACAGACACACAGACAGACAGAACTGTCCTCAGGGACCATCCAAAGGGCCCTTGGCAAGCTCCAGCACTGGCTCCATGTGCAACTCATGTGGTTCAAAGAGGCCAAGTACAGCTTCTGTCTGGGACCAGGGCAAGGAAATCAGGGCACACAGCAGGCCAGCACAGAGGGAGAGGAACCCTGCAGGGCAGAGCTGCCATGGGACAGCTGCCACAGTGCCCAGCTCAGGGCTGCAGCTCTCATCAGGCACTGCTGCAGGAGGGCTGAGACTCTGCTCGTCCAGCTGAACTTGTACATGGCAAAACAGATCATGGAATACCTTGTCATCCCTCCTCCCATATCAAGATACTGCAGGTTTAAAAACACAATCAGTTGTTTTCACTAGGATCAAACAACCAATCAATTAAAAGTTATGAGAACTTACTCTTTGATTATGTGATTTGGGCAGTGGAAGACTGTATCACCAGTGTGATTCATTTGTATGATTGATTGTACATAATACCATCAAAAATGTGCTATCTATCTACACTTCACGGGAGAGGTTGGCCAGGATCACAGCAATAATCGACATGCTCACCAAGATTTTAGCACTGGTTGAGTCAAACCCAAACCCACTGTTACTGACTAGTGAAACTGGAAGGAGACAGTGCTCCAGGAGACGTCCAGGAAAAATATGAAATGACTTTATCAACCATTCTCTGGATACACAGAGACAGTCCACCATGAAAGACCAATATTTATTTATTGTAAAGATGTTAAACAGACTCACTGCTAATTGCAAAAGATTCTTTAATGGCACCAAAGCAAAATGGATTACAGACAATGGCAGAAGGCATGGTACCTTTGTAAAGCAAATTCAAAAGAAGGCAATGCTGGCCCTACACTTACATTTTCTGTTTCACTTAGCAACAGAGTCAACATGCAATGTTTCAGCATTCCAGAGCCCAGGACTCTGGAATGCCAGCTGAGGGTGTATTACGTTACACATCCCTGGCACATTTCTTAGCCTGGGCAATCTTTCATATAATCAAGCGTGATAATACTTTCATTTATGGGGCTGGAGAAGCATGCAAGGCAGGATAGAGAAGTACAGATCTGCAGTGCAGCACAGCAGAGAGTTCCCAGGGAAAAAAGGCTACACAAGCAGAAGGAGAAATCTAGATCTCAAATTTCTTGCTGGCGCTGCATATTTTCTCAGCTTTGGAGGATTTGCATTCTAATACGAGCGGCCAGGGCGAAGGGGACGCAGGAAGGAAAGCCTGTCATTGAGGTAGATTGCTGAGTAATGTGGAAGGTTATCTTTTTCTCGTGCAATGTATTGAATCCCACTTCCATCACTGTGCTCACACAGCAGCCAGGCACCTCTCTGGACTTTGTGGGAAGACATGATGTCATTGTCGAATCCCGCAGCCAGGTTGGTTGCTTGCCTTATTACTCTGCTCCTCCCATGATAGTTGGGATGCTCATAGAGAGTGATCTGGGGATCATGCAGATCTTCAGTGATCATCTGCAGAGAACTGATCGTGTCATTCATGCTTCTACCAACATAGTCATGCTCCCCCTCCTCTAGTACCATTAGCCTGCCTGTATAATTTATGTGCTCATAAGCCACCCAAGGCTGGCCAACTACTTTCACTGAGGAGATAATATCATTAAAGTCCAAATGTCCCAGATTGGAAATGTCAGAAGTTATTTCTCTAGACACCCCCCTGAAGTTGGCATGCTCATAAATGATGATTTTGCCCATCTCAAGACTCCTGAGGATGAAAGACCTTGCTGTTGGCCTTGGATGACAGCCTGCACGGAAGGAAGATGAAAATAAGAATGCTTGTAAGAAGACTTTATACAAAATGATAGAGAGCATGTGGAAATAAAGAAAATGTAAAACATTTTGAACAATGAATAAATGTAACAACAGCTGGAAAAGAGTGAAGGCTTTACATAGTAGTTTGTATTTGGAGGGAAAAAGGAAAATGAAATATGTGCCCACAACTGCCCACTTTTAAATAGTTATGTGTTGGGTTAGATATACATCCAAGATGAAGTATTAAATACTCTCCCAGTCACCCTCCACAACTGTGTATCAGTGGCCCCCTCCAGGCTGTCCCTGGGTGAGGTTTGTCTCTCCTGCAGCAGCCATCCATCTCCTCATGCCCTGAGAGATGGCTTCAGTCTCTGCACACGCACACAGCAGAGCCTCACGGCTGTGCTGCAGCTCTCAGCCCAGCACTAAAGCCTCCTGCCCTTGCCCTGCCCTTCACAGCAGCTGCCCAAGAAGCCCTTCCAGCTCTCCTGTGCCAAGGGTGCCTCTTACCTTGCTGTCAGCTGCAGGGCTGCGAGAGCTGAGGGCAATTCCTCCAGGGCAGGGCTGTGGTTTGGGAAGGGCATCTCACCAGCCTCCCTTTATAGCTGGCTCAGAAGTCTTGTGAAACAGCCAACTGCACAGAACTGGGAAGTGGTACCATGCCCCCAGGCATCAAAAATCATTAACTATCCTGTCCTAGATTACATGTTCCTATGATCAGACATCTTCTTTGTCTCTTTCAAAAGTCCCATGAAGTGCAAGTGACTTGATGAAACCTGGGAAGTTCAATTCCTGTTTGTCCTTCTCCTCTAGAAGAAAATGGAACCAGAGTAATAAAAATGTATCAAAGCATTCTCAGACACACAGGCTACAGAATGTTTCTGCCTGTTGGAGTTTGCATTTTTGCTTTTCTGGGAATAATATTGCATACACAACCTTAGTCTTACTAACAGTTTTGATGGAAGATTTCCGAGTCACAGTGGGGACATTCACGTAATATTTTTCTTTTGCTTTTCCCTTTTCTCCTTACAATCGCAGTATCATTGATGTTGGAAAAGGCCACTAAGATCATCTAATCCAGCCTTGAACCAAATGCCACCATACCCCCTAAACCATATTGCAAAGGATCCTTTCCACTTGTGTTTTGAATATTTTCAGGTATGGTGACCCTACCACTTCCCTGGGCAGCCCATTCCAAACCTTAACAATCTTCCAATGAAGAAATGTTTCCTAAAATCCAGCCGGAACCTCCCCATACACAACTGAAAGCCATTTCCCCTTGTCCCACCACTGACTGCCTGGAGAAGGGACAAACCCCCACCTTGCCAAAAGCTCCTCTCAGGTACTGTCAAAAGTAAACATATCTGCCCTGAGCCTCCTTTCCCCAGGATAAAAACTCCCAGTTGCACCAGTGGCTCCTCATCAGACCTGGCTCCAGACCCTTCACCAGCCTTGCTGCCCTGGACTCCCTCCAGCACCTCAGTGTCTGTCTGCCAGTGAGGGGCCCAAAATGAGCACAGGATTCCAGGAGTGGCCTCAGCAGTGCTGAGCACAGGGGAACAATCCCTGTCCTGCTCCTGCTGGCCACACCATTGCTGATCCAGACCAGGTGCCACGGGCCTGCCTGGCCACCTGAGAACACTGATGGCTCATGTTCAGCCCTCTCAAGGTGTGGATACCCCATCCTCAAAGAGTTCTTTAGAGTCCCTTGCAGCCCAAACCATTCTCTGTTTCTGTGATATATGTATTAATGTATATATTTATGTATAGTAATAGATGACCATGGTACTATTGTAGATGATAAACAAAAGCACCAATGTTGTTATCTCAAAACCAGACAGAAGAACACAGTTTGGAACCCAGAAAAGAAGTGTAAATAGAGAGGTACTGGTATGGTGAAAAAACAGCTTCAAAGTCAGAATTTCAAGCAGAGACATGGCAAAAGACCGCCAGAGATCTTTGCAGATACTTATTTTGTACAAAATACTGAATATTGAAAATGGTGCTTTATACTGTCAGTTTTGAATTTAAACACTTGAATCTGATTAGACATGGTGTTTCTTTCCATTTCATTGTGCTAAATATGACTCCAAACATTTTCCCAATTCAGTCTGAAGTAAATGCTTCAGATAATACTTCTGCAGCCTGGGCTCCAGCAGCTGAGCTGAGGAGCTCCTGGGGCTGAACTCTGCTCATCCTGAGCTCTCCCTACACACGGCACTCGAAAAGTGACTTGGCCAGACAGACACCCTGGAACTGGGGCTTTCCCACAAAAAAAATAAACACTCTTAAAATTAACTATAGTGTTCTTTCCTTTTACTTTCAATCTTGATCAGCTGTTTGCAGGAACTATCATGGGCTTTCTCAGAAGAGCATCTTGTGTTACGAAATCCTACAGATCCACAGATGCTCTCTCAGTTCTCTTTTTCTTGCACTTGTGCTTGGATGCGATTCTACTTCTACTCCCTTGAAAGCAGGAGAGCCACATCTTGAAAAATTTCCATTCCAAAAAACCAAATTCACCAAGGAAGCCCCAAACATTAAACTGTGGAGAGACAAATTGCAGGGACACATTAATTGCTGAGTGCAAGGACAATGCAAAGGAGCTCATTAGACCCACTGAGGCAATGTCAGTGCACAGAAATCCCCATCAGGACAGCCTTGGTCTGACAAAGCTGAATGGTTGGACAAGGGACATTGATCATCTTTATTTACAGCAGGATTCCTCAGGAGCAATATAGCTAGGAAATAGTGGGATTTGCCTGTCTTGGTCCTTATGTGATGAGCTTGAATGATCCAGGGAGCCAGGAGGATGGTAGGATTGGTGAGTAATTGAATTTCAAGGTGACTTTTGATTGCCATTGGATCCAGTCAGCTGCTTAACACAGGGACAGCTGTGAGGTGAATTATGGCTGCTGGTGGCTTTATCCAGTCAGGTCTGGAAAACCTCAGAGTATGCAGACTATCCAACTTCTTTGGGTGGTGTGATTTAACATTTTCTGACATCATCATGAAAATTTTTCTCATTATGGCCAGTTGAATACTCTCTTGATTTAGTTGTTTCTCACATTTTCATCCTCCTACTATATGCACTCTGAAAAGGTTAGCTTCATCTTCTCCGTAACTTGCTCATAAGTATTGGGAAGCTGCTATTATGTCTCACCAAAACATTTTCTCCCATCTGAACAATTCCAGTTCCCCAGCTTCTCCTCCCAGGGCTAGTACTGCAGCCCCCTGACCTTCTCCATGGCCCCCCCATTGAACTCTCCCAGTTTACCAACACCTTCTTATGCTACATCACCCAGAACTGGATGCAGTGTTCTAAATGCTGCCAAAGAAGCAATGACCCTTAATCTGCTGACTTAGGCTCCTGTAAGTGCAGCCCAGGATGCTGTTGGTCATTTTTGCTGCCAGGGCAAATTTGGTTCATGGTCAGCTTGTGCCTACAAAAACCACAAGGTCTTTTTCAGCAGAGCTGCTCCCCAGAGAGTCAGTGCCCAGCACCTGTCATTGCAGGGGTTCTTCCTTCCCAGATGCAGGACTTTGTCCACTTCCAGTTTCATAGGAGTCCTTGTCAGTCCGTTCCACCTGCCTTCAAGACCCTTTTGCATGGCAGCTCTGTTGTCAAGGGGTGTCACAGGCAAATTTGTTAAACAAGCACCCCCTCACCTCCTGCAGCATATGTGTCTCAGTCATAAATATATTGGGACTGCAAGTCTCCATCTCAGAGGCACAAGGAGAAGTGTCCTGGTGAAAAAGGAACCAAAAAAGTGATATCTATGGAGCTGGAAAAGAGCAGTCCCAAAAGGGTAATGATCCTGGACGCCAAGAGAGGGAGATAATCTGCAAGAAATTGTGTCAGTGCTCTGTTGTTTCAGCCCATGGGTGACCAATCCTTTTTATGTTAAAGACTGAATAACTAAAGTGTCTGAGCTATTTTAGAAGCAGAGGAGATCCTGCTGATTTATGAAGTAACAAACATGAAGATCCAGGTGGGAATGCAGTAGCCTGGTGGAAGAGCATCGCTTTTTATTTTGACAAACCTGACACTCATCCATAGTTATTAGGGTCATTAGGGAGTTTCTCAACTGACAGAATTATCAGCAATAAGACCACAGAAGAATGATATTTCATCCATGAAATTCAGAAAGAGATTTTTTTTCCAGATGTTTTCTCTCAACACCTTCTTTAAGGATAAAGGTTCTTAAAGAACTTCCCTCTCTTACACGGCAGAAGTGAAGAACATTCAAAATTTTGACACTAATGCTAATGAAAAATAAGATTTATTAAGACTAGCATTTGAAAAACCCAATTGTTGAAAAGTGGCAACATTGTACAAATAAAACCCTCTGTGACTTGGGTCTACACCCAAATGAGGTTAAGAGGACTGTGACAAGCTTTAGGGGCACTCTATTGCCTCAGTCCAGACAAGAGTTGACACGTCAGTCACCTTGTTCCCCTGCCCACCCAAAGAGTGTTCACACAGCCTCTGTGCACATTCTTGTGTTCATCTGATGTGAAAAATGCGTATTGTATGATTGGCTTTTCGCAAATATTAACATGAATATTACATGTGTTGTGTTAGAAAGTTATGCTGTAATAATTTTCTTAAGTAGTGTGTTAAATATAGTTTTGGGTTATAACAAAATGTTAAAACAGAAACTATGCTATGCAAGATTCTTTTTTAGAAAGGTCTCCCAGCAAGATAGCAGCCACAGGACACCTAAATCTTTCAGAGAAAAAGAATTTATTGCCCTCTTATCAGGAGAAGCAAACTTCTTCCCACCTCAAAGGCGCTGTTAGGATTATGAGGAAAAAGTTGACGATGACCAGACAGAACCCTGTGTTTGAATGGAATTTATGCATCATGTATGAAGTGTATGAATATGCAACAGGCTATTGTTTTTAAGGGTTAATTCTCTGTTAACGGGTGTCCTTTTTTGGGCTTATGCTGCCCAGAAAAAGGTACCCGGATGTCTGTAACTCTTTGTTTCTGTTGTCTCATATTGTCCTAATTCAAATTGTCCAAATTATTATTACTCTAATTGTATTACTATTTTCATAACCATTTTATTACTATTAAACTTTAAAAATTTTAAAAACAAGTGATTGGAATTTTTCACATCTGACAAGGGCCAGCAGGAGTTGCAGTGTCTGTAGGGCACAGCCCTGCCCCAAGCAGAGGTGTGAGCCTGGGTCGTGGTGTGGTGTGTCCGTGTGTCCGTCAGTGCGCTCGGAGCAGCTGATTCACAGCAGGATCCATTCACTCAGGTGCATGTTGCATTGTGATTTCAGGGTTTACCTCAGAACCTCGGGTCCCTCCCCTGATAATTCCCTCCCAGGTGTGTCAATCACCTCTCCTTTCCCTCCCTGACCCCTGCCAAGCACTGTCTGTCAATCCTGGAATTCCAGAAGGGCGTGGAGTGATTGGCAGATTCAAAGGATGCCCTCTGCCCCTGGGGGGAGCATTGGGCCATCCAAGTGTCCTCTGTCCCTTAAGACCTCCTCCCATGTACCTGGTTGGTGGGATTCCTACCTCTTCCCTCCTCATCTCCCC